TGACAGGGTGCCTCCTGTCTGGGCCTCCCAGGCTGGGGGTGCACCTTCCTGCCCGCGTCCCCCCACGCCCAGCACTCCTCCGGGGAGCACCGGTCCCCCACCCTGGCTGGAAGTGGAAGGAGCCACCAGAGGGCACCGGGGGTGGGAGTGATAGGGGGATCCCTCCCCACCAAAGCTGGGGCCACGCCCCACGTCCCCACAGGCCCTGCACCCCCACCAGCCTGGCCCACGCAGCAGGCTGAGCCTCCGTCATCAGCACGATCTTTGCTGCCACCCAGTGGCCACTAGAGGCAATGCAGGCGGAGCGTGCCCACGGGCCTTTCTGTGAAGTGTCCCCAATGGCAAATGCATGGGGACAGGGACTGGAGCTGCGGGGACAGACACACACACACACACACACACACACACACACACACGCACACGATGGGGGGATGGGCGAGGGGGTCTCAGGCGGCGGGCTGAAATGTGGAGCCAGACGGGGTGGTGGCCACGCAGCTGGCGAATTACTGAACGCCCTTTAAAACGGTTAATTTTCTTCTGTGACTTCCACCTCAAAAAGTGTTCAAATAGGACACTCAGATGGTCTGGATGTAGAGAAATTCACAAAAGCAATGCCCAAGCAGTAACCCTCTTCTGCCCTAACATTAGCAACAGATAGATTAGAGCGCCGGCCTGAGGACGGAAGGGTCCGGGTTCAAGTCTGGTCAGGGGCACAGGCCCGGGCTGTGGGCTCCATCCCCAAAAGGGGGCGTGCAGGAGGCAGCTGATCCATGATTCTCTCTCATCGCTGATGTTTCTTTTTTTTTTTTTTTAATATGTTTTATTGATTTTTCAGAGAGGAAGGGAGAGGGATAGAGAGCTAGAAACATCGATGAGAGAGATACATCGACTAGCTGCCTCCTGCACACCCCCCACCACCGGGGATGTGCCCACAACCACGGTACATGCCCATGACCGGAACCGAACCCGGGACCTTTCAGTCCGCAGACCGACGCTCTATCCACTGAGCCAAACCTGTTTCGGCTCATCATTGATGTTTCTATCTCTCTTCCTCTCTGAAATCAATAAAAGCATTTTTTAAAAGAAAAATGGCCAAAACCAGTGTGGCTCAATGGATAGAGCGTCGGCTTGGGGACCGAAAGGTCCCAGGTTCGATTCCGGTCAAGGGCATGTACCGTGGTTGCGGGCACATCCCCAGTAGGGGGTGTGCAAGAGGCAGCTAATCGATGATTCTCTCTCATCGATGTTTCTAACTCTCTCTCCCTCTCCCCTCCTCTTTGTAAAAAATCAATAAAATATATTTTTAAAAAAACAAAGAAAAATAAATGAATGAGTAATAACAGTCAGCCTGGCCGACCTGACTCAGTGGTTAGAGCCCCACCAGCCCCCCGCCCCCCACCCCATGGGTTCCAACGTCTTTGCACATGTTACCCAGCAGCCTGCAATCCAGACCAAAACCAGGGGCATGAGACCCTCAGAGAGGCAGCACCAGGGACCCTGCGGGCCTGGCTCACCCCCTGGATGGGCCGGGACCTCGCCGGAGCCCAGGATCAGGCAAGCAAGACCGGAATGAGGTGGGTCCTGAGCCTCATGGACATGCCTGACTGGACAGCACAAACCCAAGCATTCTCCACATGTGTGTGCACCCATGTATGCCCAGGTATACACGTGGGCATGGTCCCACACATATGCAAATACGTGTCTGTACATATTACACCTATGCACAGACACTGTGGGCAGGCACACATGCACACACATGGACCTAGACGTGGACATATACATGTGTGCACTTGTGTAGCTGGCTGCACATGTGTGTGAACGGGCTGGTGTGCACAGCCGTGCACCATGCGTATGCATGTGTGTAGGCACAGGTGCACACGTGCACACATACCTTGCTATGCTACAAGAGGTAAAACAGAGGCCTCATCCTTTACAGCAACACAAGGCACCTACAGGTGGACAGAAGGATCTAGAGGAGCCGGGCGCTTGGAGGTGCAAAGCCGCTCTCCGGGTGGAGGGCAGGGGGCCATGGCGGCGACCTCACAGCCGCACGGAGGAGAGGCCGGGTTAGGGGAGAAGCCACGGCCCCCCGTGCTCTTGTCACTGAGCCAGAGACTGCAGACAGGAGAACTGCTCACCCAACACGAGGAGGAAGGACAGAGTGAAGGAACCAGGAGGGGGGGCGTGTAAAGGCGATTGATGATGGGAGACAGAATGGGGCGCCTGCCATGAATCGGAGCGGTTCTTCAGGCACGAGGAAAGGAGCCCCGAGCAGCAGCGAGCAACCAGTTACCACGCCGCTCGCCACTCCCTGCGAATCGTAGCCACCACCATGAGCCGAGCGTTCCGAAGCGTGTCCACTGCGGGGGAGGAGGAGGAGGTGGCGGAGGCCGGGGGTGGGGCACTCCGTCCTGCAGGGCCCTTGGTGAGAGGGCCATCCGGTTCAGGAGTGCGCCAGGCCAGGGGTCAGGCGAGGGAGGGAGGGAGAGGTCAGCGCTATGGGCCCGAGGCCGGTGAGGGGACGGGGCCTTCCCTTCCCCCGCCCCCCAGGGCTGCAGGAGTCAGGCCCCACTTGCCTGGGATCCTTCTTGGTGCTAACAGGCCCTGGTGCCGGGTCGGGCGGAGGGGGCACGCAGGGGTGGGGGCACAGGGGTGAGGACCGGAAAGGCGGTCAGCCCGGCCGGCACAGCCTCCGTGCCAACAGGAATCGAACCGGGGCCGCGTGGTTCCTGGTCAGCGCGCCACCACTGAGCCACGCCGGCCGCAGCTCTGGTGCCCCTTTTCCCGGAACGCAGCCGTTTCCTCTACGTTGTGCCTCACAATCTCTGCTGCATCTCAGGTTTTCTTCTGAAGGTTTTATTGAGGTCAGAGAGGGAGGGAGAGGGAGAGAAACATCGATGATGAGAGAATCACGGACCGGCCTCCTGCACGCCCCACACTGGGGACTGAGCCCGCAACCCCTGCCTGTGCCCTGACCGGGCCTCGAACCCTCGCCTCCTGGTTCCCAAGTTGATGCTCGGCCATGGAGCCCTGCCGGCCGGCTGGCTTGTCTTTTCCCCTCACACGGGCTCAGCCATGGGGAGCCGTCCGCACGGCCGTGTCTGAGAGGCACCCTTGTGTCCGAGGGGTGAGATGAGGATCCTGACAGTCCCCCCCCCTCAGGGCCCTCAAATTCCTGAGCGTTTCTATCGCGCCTCCCCACCACCACTACCCGATTCCCCCTCACCCTCCAACACGGCCGTGACGGTTAAGCTCCTTCTGTCGCCGACCGCAGACCCGACTGCTGTGGTGTTCACTGTCGCTCTGCTGAGCGCTCGCTTCTCACGTGTGTCATTTCTCCTCTGGCCACGAGTTACACACGAGCCGTTCACCGCCGAGCACGAGGCGTGCGCCCTCTGCTCCTGGGCTGTGCTGGGGCCACGGGATGGCAGGGGCCACGTCCTCGGACTCGCCGACCCCTCCTCCTGGGCGCAGGGTCGGCTCAGACGGCTCCAGGCGCACCAGCATCCACGCGGTCTCCCGCAGACGGCGGCCCCGCACCCACCGGCGGCCAGACCTTCCACACGACCCGCTGACGGCTAAGAGGATTGTCCGAAACCCTCCAACCCGACGTCTTTCTGCTTCTCTGCTGTCAGTCTGCTTTGTTTGTATTCATTTTTTTAGATGTATTATTGATTTCAGAGAGGAAGGGAGGAGAGAACATTAATGATGAGCATCATTGAGTGGCTGCCTCCCACGCGGCCCCCACTGGGGATGTGTCCGCAACCAGGTACATGCCCTTGCCCAGAATCAAAGCTGGGCTCCTTTAGTCCGCAGGCCGACGCTCTATCCACTGAGCCACCCAGCTAGGCCGTTTTATTCTATTTTTATCCGTCTCCCCAAATTGACCCGGAACGCGCGGTCCCGGGGCAGTCCGGCAGCGGTGCTGCAGCGCAGGTCCTGGGTCCCGCCCGCGGGAGCTGCAGCCCTGCGCCCCGCCAGCCCGGCCCGCACGGCAGCCGATCTCAGGACTGGATGTGAACCAGGAAGAACCACGCGGCCACCTCCGTCTGTGAGCAAACACGCCGCCAGGTGCCGCCGGAGCCCCGAGCACAGGTGGCCTCGGCCGCGTGGGTGCGTGCAGGAGGCCTGGCCGGGGGCTGAGGGAGAGCTGGGCCTCAGGAAGGACAGCTGCAAACAGCCCCTCTACCCCCAGGCCTGACCAGTGAGAACGCCCTGCCACGAGGGACCTACTCCAACTTTCTTGGGGGAAAAAGACAATTTCTCAAAACGTCTCCGTTTCACCCAAAGTTCCCAGGCCTACACCCTTAGTAGAAATCCTATGATTGTTAAATTAGGAATGAACGGGGGGAAGGGGGGCCCCCCCGCACTGGGCCAGGATCCACGGGATGTGGCTGCCCAGGCCACGTGCACCTAACTGGGAACACCAACACTCGGCCCAGCTGGCGTGGCTCAGAGGCTGAGCGCCAACCTATGAACCAGGAGGTCACAGTTCAATTGACGGTCAGGGCACAGGCCCGGTTGCAGGCTCCATCCCCGGTGTGGGACGTGCAGGAAGCGGCTGATCCGTGATTCTCTCGTCACTGATGTCTCTCTCTCCCTCGCCCTTCCTCTCTGAAGTCAATAAAAATAGTTTCTAAAAGATAAACAATGGAAGGCACGGTGCAAAGCAAACGTCTTTTATTGAAGTCACAGGCGGCCAGGGGTCCACGCCGGGCCGGGGTCAGGCCGCAGAGCTGGGCCTGCCCCGAGCAGCGCCCAGACCTCCAGCTGCAGGACGCACAGCGCCCTTCGCCACAGGCGTTTACAAGGAGCCAGCCCGCCCTGGGTGTGCCCAGAACCCAGAACTGAATGCCCTCGAAAATGCATTTCAAAATAGACCTTTCTCCACAACTGTAAAAGCCAGAAAAATGCAAAATACTCCGTAGGAAAGACTGATCAAAAAGACCTCAACGTTCAGACTGAGCGGGCCGCTCCCGCCCCCGGACGGCCGCCACTGGTCAGTTGTTCTCGATCTGCTCCAGGTCCAGCTCGCCGGGGCCCGGCGGGCACACGCCCTCCTCGCCGGCGCTGTCCCAGCCCCCCGGCTCCCCGCCGCTGCCCCCCTCCTGGGAGGCCCACGGGCTGGGGCAGGCGCCCAGGGGGCTGGAGGCCGGGGTGACGAGGCCCGTGAGGCCGTGCGGGGCCCGAGGGGAGGACACGGCCGTCTTCGCTCTGGCCTCATCCTCCTCCTCGCCGTCGCAGTCGAGGGAGCCGAGGCTTTTTGAGTTCTTCAGCGTCTGGGCAGGAAAGACAGTGTGTAAGGCGCTGCTGGGAGGGCCCCGGGCACCCCGTCGGCCCAGCGCCCTCGGTCCCCTGGGCTCAGACACCCGCCCCGGGCAGCGTCTGAGCCCGCAGCCGGGGCCGGCCGCCTCACCAGCCATGTGCCGACACACGGCTTCCCCCAGCCCAGCCCTGGGAGGCCCCACACTGCGCCCGAGGAGGCGGGTGGAGTGGACGTGCCGCCTCGGATACCTGGGACACTCCACACCCCAGATCCTCGCACCCCCAGGGCAGCCGGCCGCTCTGGAGGGGGGGCAGGTGGTGTGTTGGCTGCCGCCGGCCGGCTCGGACCCGCTGAGGGCTCGGCGCCCCCGGCGTGCCTCCGCGCAGGCAGCGGGCCTCACCCGCGTCATCTTCAGGAAGTCCAGGGACGGGCGCGGCCAGCGCGGATCCTCCTCCCGCGGGCGCTTCCGGCGGCTCTTCCTGCCGGCGAGCACGCAGGGCTGCGAGCGGCTCCGCAGCAGGCCCAGCCGCCAGCCCCGCGCCGGCGCCGCCGACGGGGCGTCTGCGTCCAGCAGGTGCTCCTGCGACAGGGACAGGCGGCGCCGGGAGCACAGGGCGGGCCCCGGGGGCGCCCAGGGCGGGCAGCCGGCGTCCTCGCAGCCGCCGCTGGCGGAGGCGGGCCGGGGCGCGGGCGGGGAGCCGGGGCCGGCGGCGGGCGGGGCGCCCCCGGGCAGGCTGGCGCTCCCGCCGCTGTGGCAGCGCCGCTTGGAGACGGCGGTCCAGACCTTGGAGCCCCCGGGGCGCCAGGGGGAGCGGCAGCGGGCCAGCTCGTCCGGCTCCGACAGGGAGCGGCAGTGTCGCTTGCTGGGCGGGGCCAGGGCCGGCCCCGAGCTCTCCCTGAGGTCCACGGCGCTGCCCGCGCCCAGGCCCGGCGGGAAGGGGAGGGCGGGGACCACGGCCGCCGGGCTCCGGAGGGGCCACCCTCCGCTCAGGGCCTTCCAGGGGCACCTGTCTCCTGAGGAAGAAGGAGAGACTGCGGGTGAGCAGGAGGCACTGCCAGCTGCCTATGGGCACGGGGCGACACAGCGGGGGGAGCCCAGGGCGGTGTCAGTGCCACCCTGCCTGCCCTCCCCCCTGGCATGACGGTCTGCACCCCCTCACCCTGGACAATCAGTGCTCACACTCACATGCACACTTGCTCATTCACACACACACACTCAGTGCTCACACTCACATGCACACTTGCTCACTCATCCACTCTCACATGCACACTCAGTGCTCGCACTCACATGCACACTTGCTCACTCATCCACTCTCACATGCACACTCAGTGCTCGCACTCACATGCACACTTGCTTATTCACTCACGTGCACACTCACTCATTCACTCTCACGTGCATGCTCAGTGCTCACTCACATGCACACGCATGCACAAACATTCTCTCACATGCCAATGTTTGCACTACATGCACTCACACATGCACACTTGTGTACATGCATTCACACTCACATGCACACTCATTCACACCCATGTGAATACTCGTGCTCACTCTCGCACACGCACACACTCACACTTGGGTGGTGAGGCCACTTGGCCCATTCAGACCACAGGGCACATATGTGGAGCTGTGTCTGGAGGGTGGAGGGCAGACACACACACTCCCCCCATACACACCACTGGTCCAGCACACGATAACCAAGCATGCACTGCCGTCCTGTTCTTCCTCCAGCCGCCGCCTCCCCCCCCGAGGTGAGACAGGTGGTGGCACACCGACCCAGCTCACACCATTACCGTTGGTCTCAAAAGGGAACACGGGGCCACTTCTGCTGTTCCGCTTCTCGGCTGAGCACTGAGTGAGAGAGAGGAGACGCCGTCAAGACGCAGCACGGCTCTCCTGGCCGCAGAGCACCCTCCTGGCCGCAGAGCACCCTCCTGGCCGCAGAGCACCCTCCTGGCCGCAGAGCACCCTCCTGCCCACAGAGCACCCTCCTTCCCACAGGCCCTCCCGGCAGCTGGCGAGACAGCCGGACTCTGAGAATCCTCCCCTTTTTAAAAAGCCATGCTTTCCACTAGTTTACAGTCAGTGTTCCTGTGTCAGCTCCAGTGCACAGCACACATCATCTGTTACAGAGCACCACCATGTTCCCAGCACCCATCGGGCCCCAGAGCTAGCACAGCGCTCACCTGACCCAGCCCCCGAGCCAGGCTCCCACCCGGGGCAGGAGTCCCGACGCTCACGCTGACACACGAGGCCATGGCTGCCTGCCTACCCAGTTCAGACCAGGGGGAGCAAGCGCCTGGACAGACCCCACGCGGCCCCCGGGAGGGTGGCCACACGCAGCCCCCGGGGCTGCCACCGTGTGTGCCGAGGCTGCACTCGCTCTGTGTGGGTCAGCCTTTCACTACAAGTTGGGGTTTTGCCCCGGCCAGTGGCTCGGGGAATTGGACCGCTGTCCAAACACCAACAGGTCGTGGGTTCAATACCCAGTCGGGGTGCGGCCAGGAGGCTATACCGATCAATGTCCCTCTCATTCTCTCCCCCGCTCTCTAAAAAACACACAAAAAACATAAAAACCTATAGGGAGCCTATGGGGCTCCCTGGTTGAGCATCGGCCTGTGAACCTGTGAACCAGGAGGTCACGGTGTGACTGCCAGGCAAGGCACAGGCCCCAGGGGGATGAGTGCAGGAGGCAGCGACCCGTGGCTCTCTCATCATGGATGTTCCTCTCCCCCCGCTCCCTTCCTCTCTGAACCAACAGAAACAGCTCCTGGGTGAGTTCAGGAAAAGTTGGGGACGATGTGAAACCCCCTCCAGGAGGCCGCAGGCTCTGGGGACCGGGTGCCCTGCACGCTGCCCCACCCCCGCCGCCCGGCAGCGCCTGGCTCACCGGGCCGGCATCGCAGCTCTGGTGCGCGAGGTCGTCCAGGCTCTGGTTCTGCAGCTTCTCGGTGATGAGCGTGACCATGGTCGGGGACCCGCCGGGTCCTGCGTCCGCACCGCCGGGCCCTGGGGTCCCAGCGCATCGGGCTCGGCACTAACCCTCCCGGCCGCACTCCGGGGTCACAGGCGAGCGATCCATCTCCATCGGTCCCCACAGCCCGAGTCCGCCTGTCAGAGCTGGTGTCTGTGAGCTAAAAGGCGCAGGAAGCCGAGACTCAGCCTGCAGGGGAGGCACCCAACCAACCTGCCCCACACTGCCCACGGAGGGCCCCGTGCCCGCCTCACCGCTGCCCACGGACGGCCCAGTGCCCGCCTCACCACTGCCCACGGAGGGCCCCGTGCCCGCCTCACCACTGCCCACGGACGGCCCAGTGCCCGCCTCACCGCTGCCCACGGACGGCCCAGTGCCCGCCTCACCGCTGCCCACAGAGGGCCCACTGCCCCACACTGCCCGCACACACCCACAGAGAGCCCAGTGCCCGTCTCACCACTGCCCACGGAGGGCCCAGTGCCCGCCTCACCGCTGCCCACGGAGGGCCCAGTGCCCGCCTCACCACTGCCCACAGAGAGCCCAGTGCCCGTCTCACCGCTGCCCACGGAGGGCCCAGTGCCCGCCTCACTGCTGACAAAGGCCCAAAGGAGTCGCACACCCCTCCCCCGCTCCATCCAGCCAGACAAAAGCCCCTCTCCCCCACAGGAGCCGGACAGGGTGCAGGCTGTGCCAGGCCCAGCTGGGGTGACAGAGATGCTGGGATGGGCACTGAGCCTTCCACCCTGGGAGGGGGCGCCCAGGCAAGGCCACAGCCAGAGGCCGGGGAAGACAGCCGAGACCCAGCCCCAGCGTGGACACAGCGTGGAGGGCCAGCCGTGGGCAGTCTCCTGGAGAGGCACCGCCCACGCTGGGCCACGCTGAGCAGGGAGCCCCAGCCAGCCCAGAGTGCAGGACTGGGGAGGACGTGCCTTCCACATTAAACATGGACTGCCGTTGTCCTCAGGGAGGACAGCGCCCCCAGCCTGCCATCCTCAGGAGCAGCAGGCACAGGTGGAGGCTCTGAGCAGCGCGTTGGGTGAGACTCAGGCTCCACACCACGGCCACCGGCACCAGCCGCCTCCTGTGGACCCGCAGCCTGCCCGGGCAGGGTGCTCTGAAGTTACTCTGCCCCCTCAGAACACGGCTCCACGCACGCGAGTTCAAACCCAGGCAAAGCTGACCGCTGGGGACGGACCCAGACGCTGCCCCAGGGGGCGGGTGCCCACTCGGGTGTGCGGGCAGAGCACACAGAAAACACACACATGGGACGACGTCCAGAAAAAAGCGTGCGCACAGCCAGAGATGCCATCAGCTCACGGAAAGGGAGCCCACGTGCTTGCCAACGATGCTTCTGATGAAAGATCTCTTTCCAGACGAGAAGGAGCTCCGACAACCCGACAGGACAAACCACCCAGTTAGACACGGCAGAGGACCTGAGTGGACACTTCTCCACAGAGGACGTGCAGAGGCCGAGACAGATGGAAACGTGCTCAGAGTCACTCATCATCCGAGAGATGCAAATTAAAACGACAATGCGGCACCATCTCACACCTGTCAGAATGGCCAACATCAACACATCAGCAAACGACAGGTGCTGGCGAGGATGAGGAGAAAAAGGAACCCTCGTGCACTGCTGGTGGGAATGCAGACTGGTGCAGCCGCTGTGGAGAACAGTATGCAGTTTCCTCAAAAAACTAAAAATGGAACTCCCATTTGATGCAGTGATCCCACTCCTAGGACTATATCCCAAGAAAACAGAAACACCCATCGGAAAGGATTTATGCACCCCTATGTCCATAGCAGCACAGTTCACCATAGCTGAGATCTGGAGACAGCCTAAGGGCCCATCAGCAGATGAGTGGGTTAAAAAATTGTGGTACATCTACACGGTGAAATACTACGCAGCAGTGAAAAAGGTGGAGCTCGTACCCTTTGAGACAGCATGGAGGGACCTGGAGAGTATTATTCTAAGAGATAAACCAGTCAGAGAAAGACACATATCACACGACCTCACTCATACGTGGACTGTAATGAACAAAATAAACTAAACTGATCATCAAAATGGATCTGGAGACACAGAAACACGGCACAGACTGCGGGATCTCAGAGGAAAGGTGGGGAAGGCGGTGGGTGGACGGGAAGAGATCAGGAACTTGTGTGCGTACATGCACAGCCCACAGGCGGGGGGAGGAGGTCAGGGGGGAAAGCAGACATATGTAATACTTTCAACAATAAAGATTTTTTTAAAATAGTAATAGTAACAAATAAAGACTTCAACACAAGAGACGAAACCGCCCGTCCTGACTGCCACTCTCCTGGTGACACTACACCCCCAGGAGGCTGGACAGCAGGCGCTCCGTGTAGAAGGGCAGACACCACGTCTGACATGCTAGCGCCACACGTCACCAGAGAGGAAGCTGCGTCTGACCGGAGGATCGTTCCGCTGTGCCCGATGGAAGGAGAGATCCCGCAGCACGTGACTCCTCGGTGAGAGGAGGGAGGTGGGGGCCCGGTCAGCGGCCAGAGGCAGGCTCCGATCCCGCTGCTGCTCGGGGTGGTTCTGAGCCTGTGTCCTGGACTGAACAGGAAAGAACCACCCCCTGTACGAGGCCACGGGCTGGAGTCAGTAACACACGTGAACATATGTCGACAGTTTGGCTCAAATAAACTCACTAAAATTTAAAAAAATAAAAATAAAAATGTGTGTATATATAAATTGCTGCAGCCCTAACTAGTTTGGCTCAGTGGACAGAACGTCAGCCTGCGGACTGAAGGGTCCCAGGTTCGATTCTGGTCAAGGGCATGTACCTTGGTTGCGGGCACATCCCCAGTGGGGAGTATGCAGGAGGAAGCTGATGGATGTTCCTCTCTCATTGATGTTTCTCTCTATCCCTCTTCCTTCCTTTGTAAAAAAAAATCAATAAAATATATTTTTTTTAAAAGAATCTAAAATCAATAAAAATATATTTTAAAAAAATATCACCGCAGCCTAGCAGGTATGGCTCAGGGGTGGAGCATTGACCTATGAACCAGGAGGTCAGGGTGCCATTCCCGGTCAGGGCACATGCCCAGGTTTGGGGCTCCATCCCGTGTGGAGTGTGCAGGAGGCAGCCCATTGCATGATTCTCTCATGGCTGATGTTTCTCTCTCTCCTTCTCCCTTCGTCTCTGAAATCAATAAAAATACATTTTAAGAAAGACTGCTGCAGAAAAAGCCAAAAGGGTCTACATAAAAACTTTTGTAGCTGAAACCGGTTTGGCTCAGTGGATAGAGCGTCGGCCTGCAGACTGAAGGGTCCCAGGTTCGATTCCTGTCAAGGGCATGTACTTTGGTTGCGGGCACATCCCATGGGGTGTGTGCAGGAAGCAGCTGATGGGTGTTTCTAACTCTCTATCCCTCTCTTCCCCTCTGTAAAAAATCAATAAAATATACATATTTAAAACCCTGCATTGTTTTTAGGTTTGTTTTAAAGTTGGCCGTGCACCTGTGAAACTGCTGTGACCCGGGGCCAGCAGGAGCCGCCCATGGACATGGCAGAGGGCAAAGGACTTGAACCCAGGCTAGGTCCCACCTCGCCACCTAAAGACAGTGACGCGGTGGCTGGCTTTCTCCTTTAGGGTTTCCGGTACCAGCAAGGCCCCTAAGTCCCAGGTAAGCCCAAAAACCCAGGCACAGGGCAGAGCAGTCTCGAGCCCCATTCGCGTGCCCCTCAAAGTGGCAGAGACCACAGCAAAGGGACGGAGCTCCGGAACCGCGTGCCCGGTCCCTGGACCCCGAGGGGACCCGGTCCCCGGCGAGGCCGGGGGCGAGGCCGGAGCAGGGAGCCTGCGGTGCGAACTCGCAGAGAATCAATCGTCTGGAATGGCTCTCGCACCGACGGTGAGCAAACTCACTGCTTCCACACGCCTTCTGCTGCGGTTATTTATGATCCAGAGTTTAGTGACCGGCCCGGCTGGCCTGCTCAGTGGGCAGCGCCGCGGACCCGGGTTCGGTTCGGCCAGGGCACATGCCCGGGCCCGAGGCAGCCCAGGGGCCATTCTCTCCCATCACTGATGTTCCTCTCTCCCCCTCTTCCTTCCTCCCGGAAGTCAATGAAAACATGTCTTCTTTTTAAAGAACTTACAACTGATTGGGACAAAGTGTCTCCCCACCTTCCACCCTCCGCGAGGCCGGCTTCCGGGTCGCGCTCAACCCCGGAGCCCGGCGGCCGCCGCCCGGGTGCAGCGCGGAGCTCCGGCCCGGCCCGGCCCGGCCCCTGAGGCTGGAGGCCGCGCCGCCCGCCCGGCCGCCCCGCCGCAGCCCCACTTACGCCGCCGGCCGCGGAGGGCGCCTCGCACGTCGTCCGCGCACCGGGAGCTCCGGGCCGCCGTCCGGCCAACTTCCTGCTCCGCCGGCTGCGGAGTGACACGCACGTGAGCCCGGCGGCCGCGGCGGCACCCACGTCCGCTCAACAAGTGGCGGCGCGGCCCGGCGCGGCCCCGCACGGGCGCGGGGGGCGCGGGGTCCGGGGCGCACGTGCGGCTCGCGGCGCGGGGGTCCCGGGCCGGTCCGAGGAGGCGGGCGCGCGGCGGGAGTCCCAGCGCCCGGGGCCCCGCGCCCTCAGCGGCCCGCCCGCGGGGTCCGGCGGCGGAAACGCTCGGCGCTCACGCGGGGGGAAGCGCATCGGGCCGCGCGGCCGGGTTCGCGCGCAGCCGGCAGCCGGCCCGTCCGGCCCAAGTTCACGCGCGGCCCCGCGCAGGCGCGCGCACGCAGGGCCCCGCGGGGCGCGCACGCACGGGCGGGGGGCGCGCGCCCGGCCGCCGCGTCGAGGGCCGACGCCGGGCCGGTACCTGAGCGCGGCCGAGCGGCGGCGGCCACGGCCGGCCGGGCGGAGCGACTGAGCCGCCGGCCCCGCAGGCCGCGCTCCTCCCGCAACAGCCGACGCGCCTCAGCGGCCGGAGCACACCACGCGACCCCGCCCCCTCCGACCGCGCTTATTGGCCGTTCGGCCAGCCGCCGCCCGCCCCTCGGCGGCGCCGCGCGCGCGGGGATTGGGCGGCGTCTGGGTGGGCGGGGCCTGAGGCGGCAGGGCGCGCCAGCGCCGACGGAGGGGACGGAGCTGCGTCCTGGTGGGCGGGGCCTGAAACGGCAGGGGGCGGGCCTGAAAGAGCAGGGGCGGGGCTACGCCGGCGTGGGCGTGGTCTGGAGTCGCGAAGGCAGGCAGCGGGGCGACCCGAGGCGGCGGGAGGGCGCGCTGGCCGGGAAGGCCGGTGCCTCTGGCTGGGGGAAGACTGTGGCCCCGCAGGCGGCCCGGCGGTCCGGGGTACTCCCCTTGCGACCCGTGGTCCCCACTTTCCGGGGCGTACCCGCCCTGCCGGTGACCTCAGTGTGACCTTGAGCAAGGGTCTAAGAGCATGCTAGAGCATCACCCACACTAGACAGGAAGCAGATGCTGAAAGGACGGGAAGAACTGAAACTACCATCATCATTATTATTTTTGATTTATTTATTGTAGAGAGAGTGGAGGGAAGGGGAGAGACCGACAGAGAAACCTCCATGAGAGACATGGATTGGCTGCCTCCTTCACCAAGTGTGTGCCTTTGACCGGGATTGAACCCAGGACCCTGCAGTCTGCTCGCCGTGGCTCTGTCCTCTGCGCCAAACTGGCCAGGACAAACTGCCGTTATTTACACCAAATACGGTCTTCTAAAAAGTAGTACAGAGAGTAGATACGCAGAGCATGTGATAAAGAACAGGTTACAAGCTGAAACCAGTTTGGCTCAGTGGATAGAGCATAGGCCTGTGGACTGAAAGGTCCCAGGTTCAATTCCGGTCAAGGGCATGTACCTTGGTTGCGGGCACATCCCCAGTAGGGGGTGTACAGGAGGCAGCTGATAGATGTTTCTCTCTCGTTGATGTTTCTAACTCTCTATCACTCTCCCTTCCTCTCTGTAAAAAAATCAATAAAATATATTTAAATAAATAAATAATATAAAGCCTGTACATGAAAAAAGCAAACAAAACAGCAATGAAAGCAAAGGAAATAAGCAAATACCCCCTGGAGATCCGTAAACATAAAATTCACACGCTCCCGAATGATCCCAAGATCCACCCCCACCCTCATGCGCACACAGAGCCAAACCCGGTTCAGGGAGGATGGTTCACACACTCACTCGCAGGGCCGGCAGCTGGCCGAGCCCGGGGATGTGACTTTATCCAGCAGGCGATCAGTGTTGCCCACACGGGAGAAAACACACCCGTAACTGCATCCTCAGAAGAGCCACTGGCTCCGGTCCAGAAAGCCACGTGCAGCCAGCGCCGGGCGCAGGGCAGAGGCTGCTGACGCACCTGGGAGGCTCCACACCGCCCACCACGGGACACGGGGACACGGGGACGGGAGGGACAGGGCAGGCGGGCCGGGGGCAGAGAGCTGAGGGAGGACGGCGGGAGGACAGAACCCAGCCAGGCGCAGGAACAACAATGGCTGCACAGATGAGAGAGAAGGGGAAGTGGGGGTGCAGGATGACAACCCTGATAAGCTGACCACGTCCATCTCGACACGGGAAGATAGGAAAATGAATCACCGAGGGGCCCGAGATAGCGATCGGCCCGGAGCGGTGAGGAATTAATCACGCCGGACAAACTTAATTCAGTTCTGACACCTCTCGGTTCGATGTACAAGAGTCAAGAAGAAAGACAACTCGATCCCGGCCACGGGTATCTGTGCCTCTGCGGAAAGTGCTAGATTATGTTAACAGCGTGAGAGGCGAGCACAAAAGCCCAAGATTGATTTCCTCGGGGCCTCGGAGCATTCCGAGAATTTAAATGCGAAGCCAAAGCCAGGAGCCAGGGCAGATGCTTCCAGAACCCCAATCAGACATCACGTCCCTGCTCAGACCGCCCCGCCCACCTCACTCGGAGGGAAGCTGAGTACACACACACAAACACACACAACCTCTCACCCACCCACTCCCGCCAGCCCACACCCCTACCCCCCGCGGATCAGTCCGTCTCCCAGGCGTCCCACCTCCCTCCTACATGGCTCCTGGCGCTGAGACGGACTCTCCTGGGCCAAGTCCTCACCTGGAGACTCTGAGCCAGAGACCGTCCCCCCCACCCCCCCACTCGTCCCACAGCACACACCCCAACACCAGGGACCTGGTGCAGACTCCCTGCCTGAGAAGGAGGGCCCAGGAGGACCTGTCAGTCTCTGGGTCCGGGCAGGGACCCTGGGCCGAATACTGCATTTCATCCCGCCGTTCTCTGGCCCACACCCCTCACCCCTCCGGTCCCCACCTCTCCTGGGGGGCCGGGTCTCAGGTCTCCTGGAAGCTCCTTCCAGCCAGAACCTCGGCACAGACCATGTCTCGCTGGTCAAGCTCCGAGAGGAACAGACCATCAGGGCCACGGCCTCAGCCTCCTCCCCTGCGGGTGAGGGCAGGCAGCCAGCAGCACCTCAGAGCTGACTGGGTCACCTGGGCCCCCAGCCCGTCACTGCCCACTAGCCAGCACCACGCTGGCAGCGACCTGGCTCTCCTGCCCGCCCTCCCCCAGGCCCACACCCAGCCTCCCACCCGATGAGCTGCTAGCACCCGCTGCCAGGTGAGTGCATTCCCCAACGCTGTCCCCGCTGCATTGCCACCATCAGGCCGCTCCCAACCCCGCTGTGTCACCCCTCACCCTCTACCTCTAACCTGACACATGGACTCTGTGCCCATCGAGGCAAGTGCAGACTTTGGGCACCGTTTCCACGTACCCCTGCCTCCGTTGGGGTTTGCTTGGGCGTGTGGCTGTGGCTGGCGGCAGGGACTAGGGCAGGAGTTGTGTGTGTGGCTTTGGAGGGCAGCGTCGGCGGGGCAGCCTCTGAGGACCCGCTGGATACTCACCTGAACACCCATGCAGCAGTCAGGGGGACAGGGCAGGGCCGTCACGGGGCCCCCTGCCAAAGGTCCCTGAGCTTAGGGGGACGCTAGCTCCCATGGATGTCTGGCTCCAGCTCTAAACCCCCATGGATGTCGGTCCTCTGGGGGTGGGGTGGGGGGGTGACAGCTTGGGCCACAACCCCGTCCCCCCGTGCAGTCCTCCCAGGCCGCGTGGTGAGGACGGAAGCAGAGGAGCTGCCGGCAATGAGCCTATTAGGCAACGCAATCAGTTAAAGGCTCTTTTATTTTTGCAATCTCATTCCGTACAAAAGCAATAAAAACTTCACAACAGCCTTAACGAGAAGTTTACAATTGAAGGTTTGAACAGATCTGTATATATCATCATTTACAGCAACTTTACATGGTAAATTAACGGTGTAAAGGTTCTTTCTAAACCCCTTTGCTGCCTAACTCTGAGTATGATGGGAGAGGCCTACCTGGCACTATTTACAAACACCCGACTGGACTGGGGCTGTGACTGTGACTGTGGCTCTGACTCACTGACAAAAGGCCACAAATTAAGTTTCCACGAAGACCTTACAGGGCCTGATGGCGAGAACCCTCAGACAGTCCAGGGAGCTGACACGGGACACCCACACCACCTCCCACAAGCCGCAGCTCAGCATCCCAGATTCGGTGGCCACCGGTTCAAGGGTGCTTGTCGGGTGAACTTGGGAATCGTGGGGACCAAGCGATTAAGTCTGTTATAAGATTGTTCAAGTTCAATTATCATAGAATTTAATAGCATTTCGGACTTAAAACATGCAACATACACTGGCTATACACAAAACTGTTTAAGAAAATAAGGCAAGAATAACAATCCCCAGGCGGTAATATTAACAGGAGCCTCCGAGGGCAGGCTAGCTCATGGCAGAGAAGTCCTTCAGGGGCTCGGTTAAACACGCTTCCAAGTCGAACTCGTCGTCCACGTGGCAGTCCAGGTGTCTCACCTTGGTGGGGGTGCCCTCGTACATGTCCTGGGAGACAGAAGCACGGTCACGCCAGCTCCTCACACAGGACCTGCGACCAGTGAGCTAACCCCACCGAGCGCAGCCATCACGGGGCCGGGGAGGAGCCCTCGCCGCCTCACAGAGCAGTCACACCGACACTGAGCAAAGGGCACTGTGGTCAACCCGCCCCCCTCCCTGCTGACACCCCAGGGAGCCGCTTACGAAGCTGTGGTCCTGGGAGCTGGCCTGGGACTCGGAGCTGCTCTCGGCGGACTCCGTCTCCATCTCCCCGAGGTCCACGGGGTGTCTGTGGATCAAACAGGCACTGTCACCGCTTAGCAAAGCCAGGAAGCCCAGAGGCAGAAGAGTCTGCAAGTCTGTCCGCTAAACCCAACGTCCTCCCGCCTCGCTGCGAGAACCACTCAGGGACCCCCGTGCCGCTGAGCCCGTCAGAGGTGCGGCTGCCACAGCCGTGCCACCCGGCAAGCGGGGCACACGCCCGGCACCGGGTAAGGACAAGGCAGCCCACCCCGGGGCAGGGCGGCGAACACGGGCTCATTAGACACCGCCTGAGACACAGCTCCCAGCGAAGTCCCAGCACACGCGGGCACCGGGCACTGCCCGAGGGGCGCCGGCCTCTGCACTCCCGGCGCGGCCTGACCACATTCAGGCCGGAGCTCCTCCCAAGCAAGCACGAGCTCAAACCCCGGGAAAAGGAAACCCTTCCGGTTTAAAAAGGGGGGGGGGGGCTCCTTTCAGTTTGAAATAAAGTACCCGATAGCTTTAAGAATATTTACCTTAAAAACAAATGAAAACCCACCTATCTCCAGGTTTTCTAAACTCAACTACTTTTCTAGCTACAAAATGTAAGTCCAGCCCAGGAAGCAGACTCCCCTGAGCCGCCCCTCTGGCTGCCATGACCTCCTCCTGCCTGGCCGGTGACGGCTGCTCCGGTCGGGGCGGAGAGGGGCAGCGGAGGGTCAGAGGCAGCGCGACCTACATTTCTTGCAAATCACATCCTTCTTCGGTGGGAGGGTCCCAGAAGTGCAGGGCCACCTTCCAGAGCTTGATCTGCTGGTCCCACGAGCGCCGGCTGTACTTCTTGAACTTGTTGGGGGTCTTGGGGTGAATACCGGGCTGGCGGAGGTGCCTGCGGGAGGGACAGGATGCTGGTCCTCAGCACCGGCCCTCACAGCCCGGTGGTTACCCCAAGGTTAGGACTCTAAGGTTAGGACTGTTAGGAATTAGATCCACTACCTGCCACAGCACAGGGGCGGCTGTACCTGTACCACCTGTACCACCACCACCACCACCACCTCCGCCTCTGCTGTTCCTCCCCAACCTACGCCCTGAAAGCACGCCCGAATCCTAGTGCTGGGGCACGTGTCCGGAGCATGTCCACGGGAGCATGTCCACGGGAGCATGTCCACGGGAGCAGGGTGGGCTGCCGTCCCCACGGCACCGCTCGCTCGGTGTTCTCAGGAAGACCTTTCCCACCGTTCTCAGCGACCTGGCGCCGTGAGACCGCTGCAGGTCTTGTGAGCGGAGATGGTCCCCCATCCTGACGGCAGACACGTGGTCTAAACCTCCCCCCGCGGGCACAGCCCGTTCACAGGAGCCGCTGCCTACCTCGGGACCTCGCGGATGTAGCGGTCGTAGGCCATGGTGTTCTTCCCGTAGTTGATCTGCTTCTGCCTCCGCATCAGGACACTTTCGTCCGTCTCCAGGTCGGCGGGCGCCTTGGAGTCACAGCTGGAGAAGGACGTTCCCGCCTGAACAAGCGCAGCCGCAGCCGCGCAGGGCGGAGGCCTGCCCCTGCCCCCCGCCCCGCCCCCGCCCCGGAGCCTCCGTCCCGCAGGAATAAGCACGTCAGACACCACGTCCCCAACGCGGGGCGAGGAGGGCAAAGAACGGGAGGGCGTACCTTCCCAGCGGCGACTTCCTCTCCCGCCCGCAGTCGTTGATGAGGAGCTTCCTCTTGTACCTGGGGAGAGGCACTGCTGTTTAAAAGGCGTGAAAACCCGCCGCTCCTGAAGCTGCAGGCGCGGGACCCCCTCCGAGGGGCACGGTCCGCGGTGGAGCGGCGAGAGCAGGCGTCTATCAGCGCCTCCCCCTCCCGCTCCGGAGATGAAGGTGACGATGAGTCATGTAAGGTCACGTCATGTCATGTCAGGGCTGGGGAGCGTGGCCCGCAGGCTGCATAGGACCTAAGCCCCCTGGTCTGGCCCTGCCCAGGCGACAGGGGTTTGTACTGAAACGTGTGCCCGCACAGAGCAGGCGTCTAAGCTGAGATGCCGGGTGGCTGCGAGTGATGCCATCCATGCCACAGGCCCTTGGCGGGAAAAGGCGCCACCCTGAGAGAGTGCCTGCCGCTGCCGCGGAGACCCTGGGCGAGGCCAAACAAGCAGTGAGATCCACGCCATGGAGATCGACACCCCAAACCCGTGGCCTCAGAAAGGCTGGAACAAAAACTTTTCTCTCTACTGCACCCTCCCGCTGGTGGGGCCTGTGTGCCTGCCGGCCGCTCCCCCGCCTTCTCAGGCTTGGGAAGAGGGAGCGTGAGGAGCAGTGCCCCGTGTAGCTCCAGCAGCACTGAGCACACAGCACTGAGCACACAGCACCTGGAACGAGACGCCCCCCACTTCCCGGGCTCCGTTCTCTCGGGACCCGGGAGCCTGGCTGAGGTGAGAAAACCCATCACGTCCTAGGCTGCTGGCGAGCGGTGCACCCACCGGAGCAGGCCTCTCGCAGCCCACCCCAGGGGTGAGGCAGGCGGCACTACAGTTGCACCTGGCAGAGGGGGCACCCTGCCCAGCATGCAGACGGTCCCCGCGAGCCTGGGAGCGGAGCAGGGCAATGCGCCAACAAGTCAGCCAGTCTCAGGCCGCAGCCGACAGACCAAGACCCACACAGTGAAACAGCAGAGCACAGGCCCACCTGTCAACGCCACACACACCGCCTGCGCCGACACCTTTCCCACGAGGCAGCTGCCCCCCGCAGCCCCGCCCGCCGGCACCAGGGCCCCGGCCCTCCTGGTCGGCACGTCAGCACCAGGAGCCGGGGGAACTCCGAGGCGCTCAGAGGCCCGACACTGGTGAGCGTGTCACAGGGAGAAGCAATGGCTCCGGCGGCGCCATCTGAGCCGGCATGGGCCCCGGGGGAGGACTGGCGTGAGTTTGGGGTACAACTGCAAGGGGTTCCGACTCCACGTCAGCCCCCCCCCCGCTCTGGCCATTCACAGCTGTCACCTGAGCCTGGCGTCAGCCACGGGCGCCCTCCCGCCTGGGGCTGGCGGGCAGGTCGGGCACTGCCCTCTGCAGTCAGAGGTCGGGGGGCCAGCCACTGCGATGGGGGCCTCACCTCTCAGCGAGCAGTCACCCGGGGCCCCACTGGAGCCCCACCCGGCAGCCCTGGTCTACTTCCACCAAGTCCCCAGCCCCGCTCACCTGCCGGCAGACCAGCCTTTAAACGCGCCTCACAGCCGCCACTCACCCCACAGGAGGCGCCGCCGGCGGGAGCACGTACCTTGCGATCTCTTTGTTCACCCGGGTCCGCATCTCATCCTCCTCCACGGCGCTCGCCCAGTCCGCACACCGCGGCCGGGGCTTCGGGGCCTCGGGGGTGGTGAAGCTGCAGGAAGACGGACGTGCACGTTTGAACCGCGACCCTTTCCTTTCCTTCCCAAGGGGCACAGGCGACGGCCAGGGGTCCACGGAGCCCCAAGGGAAGGGCCCTGGGAATCTGCCCGAAATGCACGCGCCCCGGCCTGGCTGTGACGTGTCCTGTGCACCACGCGCCGGGTCGGCCAGCTCTGAGGACAGGGTGCTGTGTGCTCAGTGCTGCTGGAGCTAACGGGGTGGGGGCAGCAGGCAGACAAGGTCAGCAAAGACCCATCAGCATGAGAAAGGTGCCCAATACGACTCTTTTATTTGTAAACCAAGCTGTCTGTTCAAATACACTGAGTGCTGAGCAGAGCGGCCGGCACACAGCTCCAGTGCAGTGGCTCCCGCTCACTTTTCCGTGCCCGCGATGAATGGCGCACCTACGCCACAACGGAAATGGGGAGGCACAGCGGGGTCTGGGAGCTCAGCGCTACCGAGGGCTCAAGGAAACCCGTAGTCCGGATCAGGCAATAGGGAGCACAGGCTTGGTGCCAAGAGTCCAGGCGGCTAGAATGGCTGGTCTTCACAGATTAGATGCAAAGTGACGTTCTTACATTCCCTCCCCGTTTCCTATTGGTGGGTCAAAACCAGGCTCAGCAACAGGCACTCCTGTATGTTCTAGGTGCCAGCCAAGGACAGGTAACAAATGGTTATCCCTTTACCTTACCAAGCTGGGTTCCAGACGGCACTTCACAGAGTCTAAAAACGGTCGGCAGGGGGGGAACCAGGTTAATGAGCCAAAAGTCAAGCTGAACGCGTGGCTGAGCCACAGACAGAACACCATCCCCTCTAGCCTGCAAGCGGCGGCGGCCCCAGCAGTTCCTGATGCGGAGGGAGCTCCCAGGCCCTCCTGCTGCGGCAGGTTCCGGCCAGCCTCCTGCCATCCCAGGACCAGAGCACTTTCGCGGGACGTGCCCCGGAGGAACCAAGGCCTGTGCTGCCCACTGCACAGCCCCCCTAAGGGACCACCTCCGCACCAGGTGCCCACCGGCGGGAGGAGCTGTGCACAGCGGAGGCCTGGAGGGGGAGCTAGAGGGCACCGTGGGGACAGCCCAGCCTCTCCCGCCGAGCGGGGCCCCAGCTCTCCTCGTCCTCCGCCTGCGCTACCCCCGCTGCCACCCGGTCTCTGCGCACCCGCACCCCATTCTCCCCCGAAGCTCCCGCGCACCCGGGGCCGTCCAAGCCGCCCCAGGCCCGGGCGCCCCACCCCCCCGTCCCGGCCCAGACCTGAGGGTTCAGCCCTGAGCCCGAGCGGGCCTCTCTGCTCCCCACCCGCCAGCAGGAGGCGGGAGTCCCGCCCTGAGCCCCGTCCCCCGGCGCCCCTCTCCCTGCGCTTCGGCAGCCCCGCCCCGGGGCCTCCACAGGGACGACCACCCCCAGGCTCCCCTCGGTCACCCCGGCCTTCCCGGCGGGGGCGCTGCTCAGCTCGCTGGCTCGCCACCCGGCCCATCGCGGCCCGGGCTCCCATCCGGGGACAGGAGGCCCCGACGGGCGGAGGGCCTGGGCTGGCCCCCACCCCGACCGACGGGCGCGCCCCGACTTCCGGGCTGGGCCGCCGGCCGCCGGGCCCCCAGACCACGGCCCGCACCCGCCCGCCCGCCCGCCCGCGCCCACCTGTCGGGCCGGCGGCAGTCCGCCGGCTTCGCGGGGCCCTCGGCGTCCTCCGCCCGGCGCCGGCCGTCGGCTCTGCGCTTGCGCCCCAGGCTCCATCTCGCGGGGGGCGGCGGGCTGCGGGCGAGAGGCGGCGTCAGGGCGGCGGTCCGGGCCGCGACTCCGCCGCCCGCACCCTCGCCTCGCGCCCCGGCCTCACCTGGCGTCGCGGTCGCCGCGGCTCCGGTACGACGGCGGGGTTCGCGGGCTGCAGGCCATGGCGACGCGGGGCGACGGAGCGTCCTGTGCCGTCCCGTCCCGCGGCGCAGACCGACGGCGCGCCCCGCCCCCAACCGCCTTTATGCGCCCGCGCGCCCCGCCTCCCGCCCCGCCGGCGGGCGAGACCATCGCGCGGCGGGGGGAGCCGCGGGGGGAGCCGCCCGGGCGCGCGCCGCGCAGGCGGCCCCGGCCCGCGGGAGGCGCCCGACGCCGCTCGGACGCCGCGGGCTGCGGGCGGGGCGACGCCGGGCCGAGGAGCGTGCCCGGAACGGCCCCCGCGCGGGTGAGCCGCCCCGGCGCCGCTGGACGCGCCCCGCGGGGGGCCGGGGGCGGGGCGCGGGCGCGGAGCGCGCAGGACCAGGCTCGGCCCTCCCATTGGCCCCCCTGGGCGGGGCCGCCTCCCATTGGTCCCGCCCGGGCGGGGCCGCCCCCCATTGGCTGCGCGCCGCCCACCTCCGCGCTGGCGGGAACGGGATCCGGAAGCGGCGGCCGCGGCGCAGCCCGTTCCCTCCGCCGTCGGTCTGGTCCTTGGGAGCTGGGAGGCCCCGACCACCGCCCGCGGGACCGCCCCGCTCGCTCCTCCCGCCAGCCCGCCCACACCCGCGGGAGCCGGGCGTGAGGCCCCCGGAAGGGAAGCGGAGTTCAGGCCGCAGGAACCGGTTTGGGGGGGGGGGCGGCGGTTTGTCCCCTCACTGCCGCTCCCATCGGTTGCTGTGCCTTCCCACCTCCGCCCCACCGGCCGCGGCTCTAACCAGCGGGCAGCCGGCCAGGGGCCTGTGCTCAGTGGCTTGTATCTACCGCTCTGTAAAAGCAGCGATATGGCGCTTGGCCCGCCTGAGAGCCTCCCCACAGGACACGGAAGGCGCAGGATGGAGGCCTGGACCTGCAGGGCCGGGACGCCGGCCACAGCCCTTCAACCGGAACATTGGCCCAGGACCACGGGGCCTGCTCCCCCAGGGTCTGGAAATGGGCTGACCTCGCCCCCAGCTAGGAAATCAGAGGAGGGTTCTTACAGCAGCTGCCTCCCTTTTCTTCCCGATTCTGAACAAACCTATTTTTAAGATGGCTTCTCTCCAACTGCTCCCAAAGCTTGAATATCAGGGGAAATATTTCACTTAAAGCACATTTAACTTCAGGCTAATGTTTTATTAAATACTGTATCACGTAGCCACAACAGACTTGTCTTTTGTAGTAAACACTTCCCTGGGCAACATCCCGAGTTCCAGGCTGCCTCTTCTAAAGCCTCCATCTGCTGAGCACCCCGAGGCCACAAACTCTGCTCCCAGTCCTCTGGGTGAGGTGGCCAACGGGGCCCATCACCCTGATTAAGGTGACCAGTATAAGCCTGAGGCTCCTGCAGCCACGCCTCCAGAGCTGGGTCCTGGCCCTGCCCTTTGGCCTCCCTGCCAGGAACTGTAAGACACCTCAGTGCCCTCACCACTGGCACGTCCCCTGCTGAGCTGTGGGGCTGTGGCCGGCCTGTGCCTGCGTTCTGACAAGCTTGTGTGGGTGCAGGATGTCACTGGGGTGCCTGGTCTTCAGCGCCATGCCTCCCGCCAGGAATCTAAGGCGTGGCTCTTCCCCGGGCTCTTGGGGGCAGCGGAAGGCACACAGGTGATGACCCTCCGGCCAGGAGTGGCCCCAGGAGCACACAGCCAGGGACAGGTGACGGAGCAGCCAGTCCTTGCCCAGCTCCTCAAGGGAAGCCCAGGGTCTCCGTGGGCAGGAGTGGTCCTTCCCGTGGCCTCCAGGGGCAGCCCCAGGGGTGCCTCATCTGGGGTGGCAGCCAGGTCTCCCCTCCACTGTCAGGCTCTGCCCAGGTCCCAGTGCAGCTCCACGGGGCCAGTGGCAGGAGGACCAAGCACAGCGCGTTGGGATGAACCTGGGTCTGGTGTGTAAAAGGGGCAGGTGTGCTCCAGGAAGGTAAGGCACGTGGCCCAGGTGAGGGGCGTCCGGGACACGCCAGGTCTCCCAGAAGCTCAGGAGGGCCACGCCGTGCTCTCTGACGGTACCCACCCGCACCCAGAGGAGTGGGAAATGGAGGAGAGCCCTAGACTCTCCCACGGCCCTGCCCGAACTGCAGCAGAGAAATTCTAAACATGCCCTCGTCCTCCGCGCTGGGAGAGCGGCCCACGGCCGCCCCCTCGCCCTGGCCTGGCCACTCAGCGCACAGCGCACACGTCCAGGATGCAGAAGCGCGCCCGGCAGGTGGGGCAGGGCACACGGCTGGCCAGCCAGGTGTCGGGGCGCTGCGGGTCCTGGCGGCTGGCAAACCACTTGCCCATGCAGGTGAGACACCACATGGGGCGGCAGTAGCACTGCTGGCACTCGCCCTCGGCCGCCTCCTGGCACGTCTTCACCAGCTTCACACTGGCACGGCTCTGCATGCAGCCGATGCATGCCTCCAGCTCCTGCAGGGGGAACAAGGGGGTCACAGGAGCCCGGCGACACCCCAGTGGGGCTCCCCACCCCCACCCCAGGGACCTGCCCACGGGGGCCCAGCCCCACCTGGCTACTAGGGACGGCGTACGCCGGGTTAACCTCCACCAGGGAGGCGAACGTCTCCAGGAACAGGTCGCCCAGGCTCTGGCGGATGACCACGTGGGCTGCGCTGCGGATGGGCGCCCGGAGCTTCTCGCACAGCTCGCCGTACTCTGTGGAGTTGAGCCTGCACGGAGAGGGGGCTGCTGGGCTGAGGCCACTGGACACAGGCCCCTCCATAGGGCAGGACCCCCAAGCCCAGGCAGTCTGGCCAGAACCCTGGGACAGGCATCAGGGAGGCCAGGCTGCACCCTGAGGGTGACCGGGGTGCTCACAACCACACAGAACAGGGAGGCTTGGGCCCAGCCCAGCTGCCAACGAAAACGAGCAGCAAAGACAGCCCTGAGCAGAGCCCACAGCCGCGGGGCGCCTTCTTGCCCCCACAGGACACAGGGAGGATTGCAGCTGAGACGGTCTGGCCCTTGGCAGGCTCAGGACCAAGGAGGGTCCCGGCAGGCTGGCCATGGCCTCAGCAGCATGGGAGGACCTCGGCTCCAGCCTAAGCTTCAGGGGTCCTGCCCCACCCCAAACATCCCAGTGCTCCCGAGAAGGGGAGAAGGCAGCTCAGAGGACAGCATGGACAAAGGACGTGGGGAGTACTGTGGGGAAACAAGGGGAACGGGGCCAGGGTCACACTGAGGGCCCTCCCACCATCGCCTCCCAGGACCCAAAGACCAGACCCGTGCCAGCTGGGCACAGGCCTCAGCGGACCCAGCCCTGCCCGCCGCCACCTACCGGATGTCGAAGGCCTGCACCGCAGGGATGACACTGGCCACGCGGATGGTGAGGAGCTGCACGGGCAGGTTCGAGTCTGGCGAGAGGTCGTGCTGCTGTGACTCCGTCACGGTCAGGTGCACGTCCTGCTGCTGGGCCACGTGCACCCGGTACGTGGTCACCTTCATCACCCACGTGTCTGTCACGATCACACGGGCACCCGGGACGCCTGTGGCAAACTTGTCAATCCGCCGGAACTCAGTGTCGACAGAGGAAGCGACAGCCTGCCAGCCCGACTGTGGGAGGGCGTAGAGGGCCAGGGTGCGGGCCAGCGGGTGGCGGGCCCACCGGTCCCGGGACCAGTAGTAGATCAGGCTCCAGGAGATGATGGGCAGGCTCACCGCCAGGAGGAGGAAGAGCTGCCAGGCCTTTGGGGCCTGACTCGGGAAGTAGAGCCGCTTCTCCGAGGCTGCAAAGCACATGCCCACGTAGTAGCCTGCAGAGGATGGAGCGGCCTCAGCAGAGGTCGGCCTCCCAGGCCCGCATCCTCCCTTGGCGCTGCCCACTGAGGGTCACAGTGCTGTCTCTGCACCTCCCAAGGGGCCACTTCTCTTGTTCCAGCCCTGGGCCTCCGCCCTGGTCAGTGCCCCAGGCCGGGGGGGGGGGGGGGGGGTCTTACCCACCTCCACAGCTCGCCCAGCTCAGCCCTTGCCCACAGCAGTGATACCACAGGCAAGAGGAAAGCATTTTTAACTTGACACTTTAGTTTTACACGTGTTGAGTAACGAAAAAAACTAGCAAAACCTAGAAAGGCAAAAATAAATACATGGATCTGTTGTCACCCAACATGGAGCTGCCCACTGGGCCTCCTGACTCCTGAGGAGCAGATCGGAGCGAGGCCCGCCCTCACTGGATCCTCTCGTGCCAGATATGGTAGAAGGCCAAGGACGGGGGCACGTCACCACGTGGGAGCCTGTGCCCAGCACAGGCACGCCAGCCTGGGGCCAGTCCAAATGGATGGAGTAGACAGCGAAGGGGTGCAGTGGCTTGAGATTACAAAATAGTACCTGTTGGCTGTTGGTCTAGTCACTACATCTCAGCATAATCTGTTGTGTTGCAATAGATAGTATGTCAATAAAGTTTCAAAGCTTTTGAAAAATAATTGAAAAAAATAAAAACAAAGCCCTGTGTCTGGCCACAAGATAAGCTTCACCAACGTTTTGAAAGTTGCCAAGAGGGAGAAGGGTTTGGGTGAAAAGGTGAGGAGATTGGGGGTATGAAGTCCACAGCACAGGGGATACAACCCGTAATGTTTAACGAGGTACGCTGCCAGGTGGGTGCCGGTCTTACGGGGCAAATCCTTCGTAAGTTACAGGTTGTACACTTGGAACTAATGTAAGATTGTAAGTCAACTGTAACTGAAAGATGGAAAACCATGACCACAGGCTCCACTACCTCCCCCAGGTGTGGCCTGCTGGGATCACTGCCCCCTAAGTTCTGGTTCCCACAGACAGCCCCCCTGCACCTCCGACTCAGCCCAGCCTCCTGGCTGCTCCCCACGCCCACCAGGACTGCTGCTTCCGGCTGCTGCGAGCTGAAACCCCTCCCTGTGTCCACAGCCTGCAGGTGTGGTGGCCTCAGCCAGCGGCTGTCCCAGCCCTGGGCCTGCCCCTTACGTCCAGAGGTCCTCTACTCCACTCTTCAGCCAGACCCCACCCATCCGCGGACAGACTCGCTCCCAGAGACCAGCTAGGACAGCCCCGGACGTCCTGGCCACCCACATGCCTTCCAATCTGCACCTGTGACATTCCCCCGCCCCCGCATGATGTCACCCATCTCCGCCTGCCCTTCCCACATCCACTTTTCCAGGCCCGGGCCAAGGCCACCGCCTTCCTCCGTTGGAATCCGTTAACTTGGGCTCCTCGCCCGGGAACTGCCGTCCACAGGACCGTTCTCCATCCGCCCCAGCGGAGCCAAGCAACCCTCCCCAGGGCTCGGAGCCCGCCTGCTGCCACCTGCAACCGCCCAGATGCCGCCAGCGTGGAGCACACGGGCGGTTGGCCCACCGCCTCGGGCGCTCGGGGCAACGGGAGATCCCAGAACCCTCCCCTCGGAGGGAGGTGTCCCTGCGGCCCGGCCACCCGGGGACCCCGGAGCTTGGGAGGGGAGCGGGCCTCACCCAGCGGCAGCAGCGAGTGGCACAGCAGCGTGGCGGCCGTGCGGCGCTGATGGTAGCGCACGAAGGCGGCGTCCTCGCTGCCCAGCCAGCCCGACAGCAGGTTCTGCACCGTGAGCCCGGCCGAGTGGAACTCGGTGGGCGTGAACACGAAGCACACGGCCAACACCAGATAGGCCAGCGTGAAGGTGACCTCCGGGCTGTCCATCACGCCACCGCCGCCGCCGCCTAGATCCGTGGCGAAGCCGCCCCCGCGGCGCGGAGCAGGCCCGAGCGTCCCGGTCCCGTAGGAGCCGAGCGGCGCGGGGTGCTCTGGGAGATGCAGTCCCACCACGGGCGGGCGAGAGGCACTCTGGGAGATGGAGTCACCGCGAAGCCCCGCCCTCAGCCGGCAGCCGTGAACTGCCCCCAGTTCTCGCGAGGGTTCGACTCCTCAAGCCCCGCCTGAAGGCGGTGCCGCACCTGGCCCCATTTTACCGCTGGAGAAACGGAGACCCGGCGGGCAGTCCTCAGGCCCTAGCCTTTCGGCGCCCGCAGCAGAGCCCGCGATCCCGGGTGGGCGGAGGGTCCCACAGCCCTCGCCAGTCCACGAGCGGCCCTTCTCCCTCCCATGCTCAGCTTCCAAGGACTTCCGGCACCCGCCCGCCCAGCGTGCCCCTCGCCCCGGAAGCACACCCGCAGGGCGCTAAGGGCGTGGCTGGACGGCACGCCCTCCTATTGGCCGCTGGCTCTCGGGAGCCCGCCCCCGACAGCGCGCTGATTGGCCGCACGCACCAACCGTCGGTATTTGAATCGGCGGCGGGCAGACCGAGTCTGGGACCGGCGCCTCCCGTTCGCCTCCCGTTCCGTCCTCGGCTCCGCGCGGCGGCCGGCAGGTAAGGCGGCTGCTGGCGGCGGGGCGGGCTCCGCTCCAGCCTCGGCCCCTCCGGCGGCAGGGGGGCGCCGGCCGAGTCCACCCCTAACGCGAGCCGCCCTCCCGCGGTTCCTGCCCCCGGAGCCGCCGCCGGCCTCCGGGCTTCCCTGCCTCCCCGGCTCTTCGGTGGTCGCCCCGGGCCGTTCGTCCGTCTGACAGCCCCCTGGCTCCCCGGGCCCTCGTCCAGCCTCCATCCATCCCCACTCCTCGCTGCTACCGCCAGCCCCCTGCCGCCGCCCCGCCGCCCTCGGCCGGGAGCGCCCCCCGCCGGCCCCACCCGCACCCGCGGGGCCGTGGGCCTCCGAGCCTGAGCCTGAGCCTCACAGCGGCCGCTCGCTGTGCCGCCCTCCCCAGGCCGTGTCACCCAGCTGCCAGGCCAGACACCAAGTCCCCTGGTTTATCTTCCCGCTTCCGGCCCGCCCGCACCCCCTTCTCCGGGCCGCCCCGCCCTGCCCAGCCCCCTGGCCTTGCCTGCAGCCACCGCCCAGCGCCGCTGCTCTGTTGTCTCCTTGGGGACCTTCGCAGGGGCTGCGGGAGGGAGGAGTGGCGGAAAGCTCGGCTTGGGAAGGCCTGGCAGCCCCGCCTCCCTGCTGTTTCCTGTGGGGCCCGGGGCTCTGCCCCCATTTCCTCCCAGGCCAGCCCTCCGCGTCTCCTGACCTCTGCCGCAGAGCCCGGGCAGAACCTGGCTCTCCCTGTTGCTGAAGGCCCCTCCCTGCGGGGCCAGGCCCGGCCAGGCTGTGCCGGGCAGGGGGGAACCCTCGGTGACATCACTCCTGCCTCTCCAGGATGAGTCTGCTGATCCCCAGTGACGAGAATGTCACCGCAGACCGGCGCGCAGACAGCTGCGACTTCCTGTTTGCACCACCCGACCTCAGCGGAAGATCGCCCGTGCTCCGGCCCTCACAGAAGGAGAATGTGCCGCCCAGGAGCACGGCCAGGGCTCTGAAGGTGGGTGCCGCGCCCCCTGCCCGCCCCGTCACTGGGCCAGCTTTCTGGGACTTCGGGGCCCAGGGCGAGCAGCCTGGCGTGGTGGGGTTGAGACGCAGGGCTGAGCGGCGCTCCCTCCCCCGCAGGTGACCTTCCAGACGCCTCTGCGGGACCCGCACACACACAGGATCCTGACCCCCAGCATGAGCAGCAACCTCGAGGCCTGCTGTGCCCTGGATGACGCCAGCGGAGTAGGGAGTTCCCCTCGAGGCTGGACCCCCAGGGGGGAGTAAGTGCGGCTGTTTGCCAGCAGCTGTGTTTGCAGTCTGTCCTCTGGCTTCTCCGGGTCTGCGCTGAGCTTGGATCCAGTTGGATCACGGCCGGAATCGGGGCTTATCCCCTGCCTTTCACCAGGAGGCGCCGCACCCAGCCTCCCAGGCTTAGGTGTTTGGCATGGCTGGTGGTCGGCTGGTGTTTGGTGTCTGAGCAGGAGGACCCCGCTGGGGGCCCTGCTCCCGGATTTGGCTGAACTGACCCCCTGGGCCGCCAGGGACTTCGGGCTCCAGAGTGGGGGGGCCTCAGGCATGTTATTCTGGTTTTTGCTGACCTTCGCTGTTTAGAACTTGCTTTTTCTCTTAAGCAGTTTCAGAGGTACAGGGAAAGGCATTTGAGTAAAGTGTCCCCTTTAGACCTTCACCTACTTTGCACAAAGCATCCTCGGGCCCTGTTCTCGTTCCCTGTGGAAGCTTCTGGAACCTGTATCTGTTTGTCTCCCTAGGTTTCCTTTCTACCTTTCAAAGTCACTTTGTATTTTCTTTTTGAACTTTTACTGAAAGGTTAGAGCAACTCAGAGACTGTTCTTTTATAGCAACACCAAGAAGGAAGGGAGTGGCTGCCAGATGCTGCTCCAGGCACTGAGTGGCCTCTAGGGCACATGCTGTGGGCGGTCAGGCTGAGGACAGGGTTCACAGGCCTTTTTTCCTGTCATTAGCTGATATTTTCAGACAAAAACCTACTCAAAACCCCCGGGCAGTGGGCAAGGAGACACCTGATTGGTGGGGTTGCTCTTATGTCAATCAGGGGCAAAGCAGATGTACAGTCCTTAGTTCATCCTAGTTTGATGCCTTTGTCGGTGGCCAGAGCTGTTTCATGCCTTAAAAGATTAAAAAAGAATTTTTTTTTAAATAAACCTACATAAAAAGCCAGCGAGTTCAGTTGTGTTGACTGAGTCTGTTTTTAAAAGCCAACAGTTCACCAAGGAAGTAGACGCCAAACCCACCGATGAAACTCAGAGACCTGCAGTGGCTGCCACCCACCCCCCTCCGGAGGATGCGAGACCAGCCTCTGAGGACGGGCATCGTTGCCAGCCTGCCTCCGCACCCCTGGCCCGCCCGGATCCCTCCGGCTGTCCCCAGGCGCCCGAGAGTCCTGAAAACCAGTCCCCGTCTCCTCAAGGAACGCCCGGCGGCCCCGGGCGAGGCGTGGAGGATGACGGCGGCTCTCACTCCCTGGGGAAAACCACTGCACCCACCCCTGAAGCTCTAGAAGGTCCTCCCAGCGTCCCATCCCCAGACAGAACAGAGCACCCTCCCAGAGCCACAGGAGAGCGCTCAGACGGACCCCCTGCCTCCTCGGCCGAGGCGCCCTCGCCCCCTGCTGCTCACCCCCGAGTGGCCCTCGGAGAAGACCCCGCCACAGACCTGCCTGGGGCCCTGGCCAGCCCTGAGGGCGCTGCTGGTCCAGAGAGCACGGCCCCGGCCGGGGCCCTGGAGGCTGGAGGGGCGCCGGCCCCAAGGCCCCAGGAGCAGGACACCAGTGGCCAAGCTGCCGGCTCTTCGGGCGAGGGGCCCGTGAGGCTAGAGTTTGACTTTTCTGCCGGCGCCACCAGCAAGAGGCCACGCCCTCCGAGGACACTGGGGAGGAGAGCGGCGGGGCAGGAAGCGCCCCCTGAGGAGGCGGGCGAGGGGCCCGCTCCTCCTCGGGGGTCCCCCAGCCTGAACGGGGACAAGCTGGACGACCCAGACTTCAACCCCTTCGGAGGCCGTGGAGAGCCCTGGGCCCCGGCTCGCCCCCAGGGCAGGCCGGCAGGGCCTGGGGCCGCAGGGGACTCCCCTCCCGGCAGGTAAGAGGAAGGCAGTGGCTGCTCCGGGACTCCCGGAGGGCCCGGCCCAGCGTGCACTTGTTTGGCCGGTGGGAGGCAGCTGGCAGGGAGGGCCACGCCTGTGAGCTCCCCTCCGTGGCTGTCGCCTGTGCCTGGGCTCCCCACGCTGTGGGCTGCTCGGGGGCAGCTGCTTAGTGGCCGCCCGGTGCCAGGTCATAAGAGAAGCTTAGCCGGGCCCAGTGCTCCCACTTGCACGCAGAGCCCTGACCGCCCCACTGCCCAGTCCTGGTACTTCCCAGTGAGGCCGCCCCCAGCCTCTTGACCAGTTTCCTGGTAAAAAGGACGCAGGGACTCAGCCCCCCGCCATGGAGCTAAGCCCTCAGGGCTCCCCCTGCTTCCAACTCCTGGAGGCTCGGGTGCTCACGGGAGGGAGGGTGGCGGGCATCGCCAAGCGCCATCTCAGCCCTGGACCTGGCTCTCTAGGTGAGGAGGGTGCACAGAGCAGGATCGGGGTGAGGGGTGCGGGCCCTGGTGACCCCGTCTCTTCAGGCAGGTGCCTCCAGCCTCCGCAGACTGCACACCTGTGACGCAGACCACAGCGGGGACGGAGGGACCGGGGGGCGAGGTATGGAGCATGCCCAAGCTGGGCCATTCTTCCGCAGTCACCGGTGTTCCCAGGTCCCAGTCACCAGAGGGAGGCCAGTGGTGACCGTGGGCACAGCGCTGCCCACCGACCCCACACCCCGCTTCTCGATGAGAAGACGGTGAGGCCGAGGCCCACCCGGGACCTTGACTTCTCAAGACGCTCCAACGGAGCCAACCGGTAACCTCTCTTCCGCCCAGGAGGGAACCGCCACTCTGGAGCCAGCAGCTGCCCCCGGCCGGAGCCCGGGGGAGCCCCCGGTCCCTGCCGCTGACCCAGCGCCCCCCACGCTGCAGGGGCCCGAGCCTGCCTGGGACCTGAGGGAGGAGCACTTCCAGGACGCAGCGGAGGGTGCGTGGTCCCTGGTCCTCCCTCTGCTGTGTGAGCGGGTGTGTCGGTGCCGTCTGCATGCAGCTGGGCTCTGACTGAGCATGGCCTCAGGGTTATCAGAGGGGCGTCCCCGGAGGTTCCTTTGGGAAGGCCCTCGCGGAGGGCACAGCACAGGGTGCGTGCGGCCTCAGTCACTGGAGAAACGGCTGGAACCGAGACCCCACAGGCTGAGTTGCTTTAAAAGACATGAGGCTGCCGGCCAGGTTGCCCTTCTGGCTCCTAGGCCCCTCTGCA